ATAATATGAACGTGTATGTGTAAAGTTTTAATCGAGGCGCGTATAAATTAATTTCAATAGCACTGGACTGTAATATTAAATATAAAAAAAAAATTACAAAAAAAAGGGGGTAAAGTATGTTTTATAGAATATACAAGTTATCTTTCTTGTTAGGTAGTTTTAATAATATTATAACTTAATCTTTGATAAATTATTTCCTTAGTTTAAAAAAAATCTCTTAAAATTACAAACAATAGATAAATCATATTAGATTAATATGTTAAAAAAAATTAAAAAAATAATAAAAAATGCAAGGTAGGAATTTTTTTTATATATTTTCGATTTAATAATAGTTAGTAATATATATATATATATATATATATATATATATATATATATATATATATATAAATTTTTTTCTTAAATTGATTTTCTTGAAGTGGGGAATATGTTATAGCTTTAAAAGACGTTTGTTTCAAGGTGAACAGTGACCAAAATGTCACTGTTCACTGACTTTTTTATCCAAATACCACACAAATAATAATATTTTCTAATATGTCACGCGGACAAGTTCGCTATAGTGCCAACAAACTTGGTTTGCTGATGTGACACGTTGCTGATGGGTACGTTGCAATAAATGCTAATACGTTGGAGAAGTTCGCTGCCACATGCAGGGAACTAGGTGTACCATATGTCTGACATGCACCAAGTTCGCTGAAGGTCCAAGCGAACTAGGTGCCACGTGGCACAATCTCATTTCGCGATCATAATTAATGTATCAGTCATAATAAAAAATAAAAAATGAAGGAAAATAGCTATTTAATTAATGTATAATCACCAATCACAATTAATGTATCAATCACCAATCACAATTAGCGTACTAATGAGAGTAACTTTTGATTGTACCAATCACAACTAATGTATCAATCACCAAGCACAATTCAAATTTAATAGGAACTGATTGCGTTTTGTATTTAATAGGAACTGATTGCGTTTTGTATTTAATAGGAGCTGATAGTGTTTTGTATGTAATAGGAGTTGATTGTGTTTTATATTTAATAGGAGCTGATTGCGTTTTATTAGAAGTTGTCATTTTACGAGTTGGTTACAGATTGTCACCAATTCAAATTTATTTGTAATTTGTAATTTTGAACCTATTTATGGGCAACATTTCAATGAAATGAGTAAATATACCAAATGAACGTGAAAGCATTGATTGATTGCGTTTTGTATTTAGTAGGAGTTGATTGCGTTTTGTATTTAATAGGAGTTGAATGTGTTTTGTATTTAATAGAAGCTGATTGCGTTTTATTAGGAGTTGCCATTTTACGAGTTGGTTACAGATTGTCACTATTTCAAATGTATTTGTAATTTGTAATTCTGAGCCTATTTGTAACACCTCGTGTATACCCGAAATATTAACATTACATCGTATTAAGCGGTGCTTAATTAAAAATGCGGAATGTTCTTTTTCTTTTCAATGATGACGTCATTATCAATTACCAATTTGATTACTTAATCAATTTCACAAAATATCGCCTGTATGTAAATTGCAATAAGACATCTACTGAAATACCTCAATATATAAATAAAGTGTGTATCTACATCACAGTATTACATCTCGTAATCCGGACAATATCCTGATACATTATTACAACACCAAAAGACTCAAGACATAATCAAGACATAACAATATTATGTGTCATGGACAATTCCCATGCTCACCAAATAAACATAATAAACAACCAGTCTCAACATAAAACTCCATAAACATAACTGAAGCTATAAGCATATAATCAGCATGCAAATCCAGCATCCAATCATGGCAGCATAATATAACAACAATCTAACTCAGCTCCGGCCTCCTGCCGCCTGAGATCTCAACATTACCTGACCCTGAAATAAGCATTCCCCAAACGTGGGGTGAGATCTCTAAACAAGAAATCTCAGTAAGACAAGGGGTCTTCAAGGATCTTCCACCCCAAGCTCACTTACATGTGCAATATAAGTTCAAAAAGCATTTATATCATTATCAGTTCCAAAACTATGTAGTGCAACAGATATCTATGGCATGTGTGTAATCACTATCTATTAGCCAGAGAAATGTAGGAATACGTCTATTCCCTACATGTAGTACAAGGAACACCGCTTGCACTTCACCCACAGCCTCACCCTCTTGTATGTTCTACATACTCAGGCTTACCGTATAGGTGGAACACCTCCATGCATATCAACAAGGCACTAACATACAATAGCTCAACAGCATTTCCAAAACATCAAAAGCATGTAACACAGCATGCATATACCATATCCCCATGGGACATTGTGGAACCACAACATGGCTAAACCGAGGACACGAAAGCTTACCTCTAAGCTAGCTATCCAATGCCACAAGCTCAAAGTCCAATCACAGCAGATCACAATCTGATATGGACCAAATATAAATCAATAAACATGTACCACATGCATACAAATTAAAAACAACGCCTTTTCATTACGTTTTATGTCTTAAAGCTTCTAACAAAGCCACAAGCCCTTAATCAAATGATTCTGGCTTAGACCATTAAATACAGAAGTTCAACTTCATCAAACTAGGGTCCACAAACCCCCAATAGCCTACTGTACACACAACACAGCTACTGTTCTGCGAAATCCCAGAATATCCGGATATTCCTCGGGACCATATCCGGATATGCAATATCCCGATATCTCACTGTCCATATCCGGATATGCAATATCCGGATATACAGATTCACATATCCGGATATCCAATATCCAGATATCCCAAAACCCCATATCCGGATATCACATATCCGGATATCCAATATCCGGATATTCCACGGGCAGATGTCCGGATATTTCACGACAGAATGCAGTTTCTGCATTTTCGTGAAGATATCCCTTAAAGGTTCTTTTTTTACCGATTTTAAACACCTAATCATGCATTTCTAGGCGTGTTCAACATTACCCAACAACAATTTATCATCTTTTAGTCATTAGATGCATCAAGGTATCATTTTTAAGCCTCAAAACTCAAGTTAAAGGTTGATGATCATACCACAAGTTCACAACAGCAAAGGGAGATGCTCTTGGAGCTCACTACAAGCTCCCACAGCCCAGCACACCCAAGGACACGAAAATGGACCAACAAGTTTGGTTCTTTTTTCCCAAAGATGACACCTTGAAGCTCAAAGTACCAACTCCAAGCTCTCACAAACAAACTAACCAAAGTCAGCCTCAAAACCTCACACACAACAGCTGGAATACCACTGAAGAACACCCTCACTCACCCACAATGATGCCTCTCACTCACACCAAGTGTTTAGGATGATGAAACAACCAAGAAAATGGGTTCAAGGTTGAGTTTTGGTCAAGAACTAGAGAAGAAAGCAATGGAACAGTGCTCACTCACAAACTGACCAGCCCCACTCACGTAGGAAAGAAAGGAGTCTAGGGTTTTGTGCGCATAATAAGAGTATATATAGGCCACATAAGCATTAACACACAATATTAACTTTAATTGCTACGCTTAGCATTTCAATCCCAAACTTTGGATTATGAAACTACATAATTTTCTAAGAATTATCATATTTTTCTTATATTTTTCTGAGCACCTTTCTGGTACGCGTTTTTCAAAGTCACTACCGGTTTCTAGTACCAGTTCTCATTATTTGGCCTTGAAACTCGTTTTACAAGTCCTACATATTATCCTAGTAATTATCATGCACTTACATTAATTTTCTGGGATAATTTTCCGGTACGCATTTATACCGACTAGCAGAACCGGTATCTGCACTTTTCTTCCGAAAAGCGACTTTCAGCATTCTTAATCACTTACCATAATTACTAAAGCCTCTTAATAATTATTAGGGTCAATTATGGAATCATTTCTTAATTTTGCATAATTAATTAATTAAATACCTTAATTAACGGTGCAGGGTTTTGTGTCCATAATAAGAGTATATATAGGTCACATAAGCATTAACACACAGTATTAACTTTAATTGCTACGCTTAGCATTTTAATCCCAAACTTTGGATTATGAAACTACATAATTTTCTAATAATTATCATATTTTTCTTATATTTTTCTGAGCATCTTTTTCGGTACGCATTTTTCAAAGCCAGTACCGGTTTCTAGCACCATTTTTCATTATTTGGACTTGAAACTCGTTTTATAAGACCTACATATTATCCTAATAATTATCATGCACTTACATTAATTTTCCGGGATACTTTTTCGGTACGCATTTATACCGACTAGCAGAACCGGTATCTGCATTTTTCTTCCGAAAAATGACTTTCAACATTCTTATTCACTTACCATAATTATTAGGGTCAATTATGGAATCATTTCATAATTTTGCATAATTAATTAATTAAATACTTTAATTAACGGTGCAGGTTCTTACTCTATTTATGGGCAACATTTCACTGAAATGAGTAAGTGTACATACCAACTCGTAAAATGACAACTCCTAATAAAATGCAATCAGCTCTTATTAAATACAAAACACAATCAATCAATGTTTTCACGCTCATTTGGTATATTTAATCGATTAAATATAAGTTTTAATCGAGTAAATCATTTAAGAGGGAGATTTAATCGATTAAGAGCGATATTTAATCGATTAAATCTTCAAGTAAATCATTTTTGTCAGTTTTAACCATTTAATCGATTAAATTTTTAAATTAATTGATTTAAGAGAAACAGATTAGTATATAATTTTAAATAAAAGATAAAATAATTATTAATTAATCAATAAACGACAGAAAAAAATCAAAAAAATCACAAGGGTCGTGTATAGACCATGGATAAAAAAACCCTAACGAGTTCACCGCGTTTCTAGTATTTTTGTTTGGCCATGCACTGCGTTTTGACTGAAAAACCCTTAGTTTAAATGGGAATTCACAATAATATCCAATATCTTAGCTGGGTGAGTTTCCGTGCTTGCGAAGAATGAAAAAATAGGGAAATTTCGTGTGCTCCAATATTTGCTCAATTCAATACCACTCTTTCACACAGACACAGTAGGTCAAAGGTCACCACTTCTCTAATCTCTTCTCCTTCTCGATTCCACTTTCACTATAATTTTTTGTTTCTCTCTGTATTTTCGTTTCCCAATTCCCATCCTCTCTTATTAGCCATACTGAAATTAAGGGGTAAATGAAATTGCCTTTGCCTATTTTCTATTTGTGCATATCGTAAGTGTCAGGGTTTTTCACTTTAGCATCAGCTAGCTATGTTTCTTATCCTCGGGTTAAGCAAGAATAACGATAAACCCTTGGGGAGGGATAACAAAGAGCTTTTAATTCTGCATATTCAAACAGCGAACTTAGGGTTCCCAAGTGTCTTTTTATGCTGAATTCTTTCCATAATTCATGAATATTAATTTTTTTCCCTTATATTTTTGGTTTAGTCGCTTTTACGTGTTTCTATTTTCATATAATTTAAACGTCAATGTTAAAAAGAAGCCTTTTTGTTTTTGGATATTTGCAGATAGTCTATCTTGATCATGGGTTTCAATTCGGTCTATAGATGCTTGCAGGATATATTTCCACAGGTATAGCTCTTAATTTTTTTATTTATTTTTTTTCATTTTTTGAAAATGTGATTGTGGAATAATCCTTTATTATTTTATTTTAAGTAGTATAATTATTAGTTGCTCTGTGATCTGGTGTTATTTGTAACCTAGTTTTGAATTGTGAAGTTGAATCGGTATTGTAATATAAAATTATTCCAATTAAGTAATGATTATGCATTGGACTTTCTTTTCTTGTTGAGTATTAAGTGCATAAAGTTGTATATTTTGGATGAATGGATACTGGATAACACATTAACACGTATCTTGAAATTTTCGCCCAAAATTCATTTTTATACGCTGATAATTTTAATTGTAAGTTTGTTACTATTACATCTTTCTCTCTCTCTCTCTCTCTTTTTGGTTGTGGGGAGAGGATCAATCACTGATAATTGTTTGCTTCACGAGACATGATCAGTAGAAAAGTAGAAATATTATCCAACTTTTAAGAAATCCATGATGGTAGTTGCCATGTGCTTGAGAAAGAGCTCTCTGATTCAGAGCCAATATCTAAACCATTAAACTATCCAAAATCCAGAGTATTTACAAATCTGGGAATGTGGATGACTTGTCATCAATACTTGCTCCTAACTGAAGCCTGTTTTATCATTTTGCACTGAACAGGTTGATGTCAGGTTACTGAGGGCTGTGGCTATTGAACACCCAAAGGATGCTGATCAAGCTGCTGAAATTATTCTCACTGAAGTCATCCCATTCATGTCCAATAAATCACCTCATATGACCCCTCCACAGGATAAGAGCCCAGGAGCCCCAGTGATTGTAGAAGGTGCATTTACTTATGATGTATATTCATTTGTATATCACTCTCTACCTTGGTTGCATTTAACTGGTTTACTAATAAATTTCTTATGACATGTTGTATCTGTAGTTGAAAGTGATGAGGAAGGGGATAGGTTGAGGCATCGTCAGCTTGTTGAAGATGCAGATGTGGGGTCTTCTTCTGCTCCACATTCTAGGGTACATGTGCTATCACCCCCCATCCAACAATCTGTAGAAGTGATCAAAACGGCCGATTGTTCTTTTGGACCAGATCTGAATGTGGCTCTGGATGAGCCTACACTGTCAAATGCCAGTAATTCAAAGGATGGTACCAATAAATTTCCTGAAATGAATGAAATTGAGGAGCTAAATATTTTTCACAATGCTGAAGATAACTTCACTGGAGAGATCTCAAACAAGATTGATCAGGAGACATCAAATGGTTTTAGGCAGGAAGTTAGTGAAAATTTCGATCAAGGACGACTTCATGTGGATGTTGGTGGTGAAAATATGATTTCTTCTGGTATATGTCAAGAGATGGAACCTGAGACAAATTACCTTGACAAGGAGGTTGCTTCCATTAATAACAATGGCAAAGGCAATAGAAGTATAAACAATCTGAGTGAAGAGTGGGCAGATTTTATAGGTTCTTCAGCTGATGACTATGATGCCACTATCTGTGATAAAAGTCACAGATTGGAAAAATGTGAAACTGCCTTGATTGAGGTTGAAGGTTCTGAGGCTCAAGCAGTTTGTCATGTTCAAGGGCATACACCAAATGCTGAAGATAGTTTTCAATCAGAATTGAATGCTGTTCCTTCTATTGCTGTTGTTGGTGAAACTAGTGATGTTGAAGACGAGATTGGTGGGAATAATGCATTTAGCCAATGTAATCAAGTATGCAGGATTGATCTGCTTGAGGAGATAATCGATGAAGCAAAAACTAACAAGGTATTATTAGCCCTAAATTCTTATATTTGGATGTTATAAATCCTAGCTTTACTGGCTTTAATGATATATGGCAGAAGTTGTGATTGTGACATTAAAATCATTATTGCTATATTGAATGATGACTTTGAATCTTATTGATGATTAAACTGAAGATTAAGTGGCATACTCTTATTATTAGTATAGAATGATGTAATTACAGTTTGTTAGCTGAAATCTGGTAATACTTAAAAATTTCTGACCTGTTATAACCAGTGTTGTAACTTATAACTATTTGACACTGATGCAGAAAATCTTGTTTTCATCTGTGGAATCTCTTATCAACTTAATGAAAGAAGTGGAACTCCAGGAGAAAGCTGCTGAGCAGGCCAATATGGAAGCTGGTAAAGGAGGGTCTAATATTCTCGTTAGGGCAGAAGAGTATAAAACAATGTTGGTGCATGCTAAAGAAGCAAATGACATGGTTGTACATGTTAAACTTTTGTGTTTCTGTTTTATATGTGATGAATGCAATATTTATCCTCAGCATTTTCCTTGCAGCATGCAGGAGAAGTTTATGGAGAAAAAGCAATTCTGGCAACTGAACTGAAAGAACTTCAATCTCGTCTGCTCGGCTTGTCTGATGAAAGGGATAAGTCTCTTGCAATTCTTGAGGAGGTGCTTTACAATTTGATGTTCATTGGAAAACTATTCATCATACCTTTTCTGCACGTTTCAGTGTTCCACAGTACATTGAACATCTTCCTGACTCGCTGAAATTATAATAATCAGAATCATCTAACTAACATAACTTATGACTGAATGAGGACTTGTGATTAAACAATATTGTTTATGAACGCAAAACATATTCTTTATGCAATTGACTTGCTTAACTTGACACAAAGAAATATAATTACTAAGCATCTTCTTTTGGTTCATCTCCTGGTTCTGGCTTCCAGATGCACCAAATTCTTGAAACACGATTAGCTGCAGCAGAAGAAGTGAGGAAAGCAGCTGAGCATGAAAAATTGGGAAAGGAGGAATCTGCACGAAAGGCTCTTGCTGAACAGGAAGCTTTGGTGGAGCAGGTAGTACATGAGTCAGCAAGACTACAGCAGGAAGCAGAAGAGAATTCAAAGGTTGCTAGTGTTAACCCTGCTCCTAAACCTTTTCATTTCATTTCATGGAATACACATGTAATACTTTTGACAAGGCTCGTTTGTTTTTAAAATGAGCAAGAGTGTATCCACCCTTTAATCTTCAGTAGGTTAGATCATGATGTACTTTAAATTAAATTTAAGGTAGATTCGCCCTTATTTTCCTAGTATTTTATGATTTTTATTTCTTCCTTTCCATCTCTGCAGTTACGGGAGTTCCTGATGGACCGTGGGCAGGTTGTTGATATGTTGCAGTAAGTTCTTTTTCTGTTTAAAAGATAGTTATATTTTTCTGCCTGTTTCCACTTTCCAGTATTGATTTTTTTTTTTAAATCCAATTCTCTTTGCTTTCAATTATTGATGCTATGTGAAACTTACTGTTGGTATCAAAATATTATAGGAATGCTTGTCAGTCTTTTCTAAGTGAGTGTAATCTTGCCTATGACCATAAAGTTACATAGCTTATAGCTAGTTTCCTTCCCCTATTTGGTTATTTTGTGGAACTAGAAGGCATTTTGTTTGACATCTGTTTCCCTAAAATTGCTGTTTCAATGTAACTAGGACATGAAGATTCTTTTTTTCCCCTCATCATACATATCTGTGTTTTATGTTATGAATTATGACTTTTGTTATTGTGATAGTTTTTCAATTTCTAATCTAATATATTTACTTTTCATTTAACTTTGTAGGGGAGAAATTTCTGTTATTTGTCAGGATATTAGACTTCTTAAAGAGAAATTTGATGCAAATCTTCCATTGAGTAAATCCTTCACCTCAAGCCAGACTAGTTGTATCTTGGCTTCTTCAGGTTCATCCCACAAAACCTTGGTGGCATCTGATGTGGGTTCTGAGCATAGTGATTCATCTGAAATACTTAAGAGCAGCCGAGCAGCCGAAATTGAAGGCCTTTCTTCCAAAAGTGGGCATGAGGAGGAAAGATCACAAGCTGATAACAATGCTCTTCTTGATGATGGGTGGGATATTTTCGAGAAAGATGAATTTCGGAGTTTAATAACTTTTTGATATGCTCGAAGGGGGAAAAAAAGAGAGTTCGAGGTATTGTTTATACAATAAAAATAAACCTTAGAATTCCTTGGATGTGAGATGGATCTTTGCTCTTTGTTTCAGTTTCAAACGGTAGTAATAGCTTAATAGTAGCATGTGATATGCAACTTTATATACATTCACTTGAGGTTGGATGCTCATTATTTCCCGATTTTGTACAGAAAACGTCATATGGAATAATTTTGTGTTTTAGTTTATACTTGGTTTCTTCTATCTTATGTTTAATGGTGTTCAGTTTATCTCCATCTTCATTTAATTACCGAGAGGGCTGTACCAGCGAATGACATGGGGGGTTCCTGGGGTAGAGAGCTTCTAAGTATTGCAGGTGTGGAATAATTGGTGACCCAAGTGTACCTACAAAAGCTTGTGGTGAACCAAATAGAATCGGTGTACTCGTCAGTTGTGAATTATGCGGTTTCACTTGTGCAAATCACTAATTTATCTAAAAGGGTAACTGGCAGTATGGCTTTATTGGGTCTTGTGTTCTGATATTTGCTGTTTCCTCTAGTTGTAGTTTCTTCTGTTGCTGCCGTATTTTCTCGGTCTTATCTTTCCCAGTAGTTTTTGGTTGGTTAATTTTTGGGCAAACGCGTCACAAAAACCAAGTGGTAACATCCGGAGTGTCCACAAGTCAAATTCATATGGTTCCATATGATTGCTTGTGTAGTAACACTTGATTTTGGCATGTTTCTTTGTTATCACACTAAATAATTATCCTTATTTCTAATAGCATTGAGGATCCACCGGATTAGTTTATGGGTTTAATTTCTTATGCACATAATAATGTGTGGGGTCATATAAGGAGAAGATAAAAAAAAAAAGTTTAGATTTCACATAATTTTATGTGTATATAAAATATAATTTTATCTTCTACTATATAAGAAATTTTAAACTCTTAATTTATCTATACTGGGGCTTAGAGATACCAAGTTGAAATGTTTATATAGAAACCTACAATAACCATGGTAACACTTCTAGTCGACAAGTGCATATGGGTGCTATCCTGAGTTCAATTGTTTTATCCCTCTTTGCCCTTTAGTGTTTCCTTCTTCACTCTTATTTATAAATGTAAGCCGTATATATTTGGAAGTTTTTAATCTCTAGAAAATGACCGGTTAACGTTTCCGTCAAAAAAGAAAAAATTTAATTAATTCCTCATTTAGTGGAACATGAACGATATCCAAGATATCAGTGTTTAGTAAACCTATACGGAAACATGATAAATAATAAAGCGGTGTATCAAATGGGATTGAATTTCCTAAGGAAAATTTTAATCTACAGGTTGTGGAAGATATAAAACTATAAAAATGCAAGTACTGTTTTACTCAATAGGAATATGCCTTCTCCCCCCTTTATCCCCCTTTGTGGGATAATAATACTATAATAGTGCAAGCGTTTGTTTTCTAAAACAGCATAATGAAATATTATTGGCCTGGACATTTTTTTTTTCAGCAGATGTGACCATCTTTTATTTTTAAACAAACTGCGTCGAATATAATTTTAATTTCTGATAACTTTCTAGTACTGACGAGATGAAGCTAAAAACATAATTGATTAGATATGTCCATTTGATTGGTTTGTGAAATGAAATAGGAAAAAGAAAAAGACAGAAGGGATTATTGCAGGAGGGGCAAGCGCATTATGTTAATATCTTGTGTGTGCATTTGGTTGATGCACTCAATGTGTTGTGAAAACTGAACCGGGCCAGTCGGGTCGATTCGGAATTTGATGAACTGGTTATTTGACTGATCCGGTTATTATATTGAATTGGTCAAGTATCAGATTATGACCCGGTCCGGGTTTATTAAAAAAAAAATTTGAAATTTTTTTTTTCAAAAAAATAAAAATCATAATTGACATATTTGAATGATCTATTACTTATTGACTTACATAAGTTATGTACCTACAATCTTAATATTATCTCAATTATGCACTATGTAAAGAATTTTGATTTGATAGTTAGAGATATTGTTTACCGAACCTGAAACACCAATATAACAAGCATTATGTGTTTGTTTGATCCTTTATTGGATAATAATGTATAATTTATTTATTTTTATATTAAAATATTTAGAATTTATATTTTTTTTTTAGCTATTTGAGTATATTTATAATTTTTTAATTTAAATTATAAATTTATATATAATCACCTGATCATGCGGTTCAACCAATGATCCACTGATTAAATCAGGGACCCAGTGATTCAGTACCTCGAGCAAGTCATTGACCGGACCGATTTTAACGTTTATGTATGTGACCAAATAACAGGGTTTCTTTTTAGAAACATTCTTTCGTTTTTCTTTTTTAATCCTTATCATGTTTGCTACTTTAGTGACATTGGCCACTTGTGGAATATGACTGAAAATCCATTATGTTGGCGTCATCGCTCCTAAATTCATGACGCCCACGTCCGTCCGGAGCAAACTTTTGGTACCACCGTCGTTGGTACTTTCATTCTTAAATTAGAAAAAAATTAAGATATAAAAAGAAATAAGTAAAAAGTAAGAGATTAAAATAGAAAACAAATTTTCTATTTGAGTAAAAAGATGCACCCAACACGGTACAACGGTGGTATTTAAAAAATTTCCGTCCCTCCCTACCCTAAAGATGGAATAAATTTGTAGTACTAACTTCCACTAAAATCAGAAATAAGTGAATAGATGTGTCATTAAAAATAAAAAAATAGGTGAAGTAAATGCATTTAGATGAGTTGTATTTGTTTAATTTTAGTGAATGTAGCGTTCTATAGGAGTATTAAAATTTGGATAATACATGAATTATGTTACGGGAAATAAAAAAAATTTCCTACAAAGACAATGCATATCATGAATCCCACAATATAAGGAGAGAGAAAAAAACATAATAGACCCCACATTATTTATTATCTCTGCAGGAAAAATTGGTGTTTCCTGTAACATAACCGATGTATTACCCTTAAAATTTTATCCTTAAAAAAGCAATGGCCAGTTCTTAGCTTTGTCATTTTGGCCCTTCTCTTATGAACTCTGCTACCTTCCCTCGTGCTGAAAAGCTAGGGAGAGTGATCATTTTGTCACGTTTGGACAAAAAAATTATCAGACTGCTACGTCAACAGTAAATTTTGTCAAAATGCCACGCGACATAATTCGCTACACAGTGTAGCGAATTATGTATGCAAGTAATTCGCTACACAGTGTAACGAAATATGCCACGTTAGAACCAAAAATGCCACATGTCAAATTTTGCAAAATTCGCTATCCTATGTAGCGAATTTTGCAAAATTTGACATGTGGCATTTTTGGTTCTGTGCGTTCTGACGTGGCATATTTCGCTACACTGTGTAGCAAATTATGCTGCGTGGCATTTTGGCAAAATTTACTGTTGGCGTGGCAGTCTGGTAATTTTTTTGTCCAAATGTGACACTTTGGTCACTGTTCCGAAAAGCTAAGTAACAATTAGCATTGAACACAAAAAATAAATAAATAAAAAATTCAACCAATATCTAAAAACTGAAGGTAAAATGCGCATTAATCCATTATTTACAGTCCATTGACTTAAAGTCTTCAACCCTATTCGGTAGTTGCTCATAATAATGGATGGTGGATTTAGGGATTGCTTTATTGTTTTAGGAAGCCACCCTTTTTTAGTAGAAATCCGGAGGTATTCCCGTTCAATTTCTTCCGATCACTTTATTTTCAGAGTACGGTCCCAAAAACTAGCTCCTCGTTGGAACAGTCAGTGCATTGGAGTATGCCATCGGAAAAAAGGAAGAGACTAATCTAAAAATAAAATAAAATTGGTGTAGTCACCCTATCATGGTAGAATAAAAAAAAGAAAAGAAGAAGAAGCAACCTGTGTTTTTCTGTGTGTTTATGATCAAGAAAACTGACATGAGGCTGAGTTGTTTAAGCTATCTTCAACTTCAATTAAATACATGCTAGTTTGTAATTTACACATTCACATTCAGCAGAAACTCCTGCTTCGTCTAGCTTCTTTACCTACCCCCTAACATAAACTACATCACTTTTGACTGTTTTACAATACAAGTCTCAGTTTATAGCTTCTCTCTCAGTATGGTTAGTCATAAAAAAATCAGAACCTCAAATTCTGCTTTACCAGAGATCTATTAGCTTAGCCATTTCTGCAACTTAGGATGACACCAAGTTGTGAAAGTTTAGTCATGCCAACACAAGAGTAAGACAGTGCATCTCCAAATTATGTAAAGCCGTGTCCTCTGCTTCCTTACTTGCTTGGAACATCGCTCCAATGACCGAAGCTTTGAACCCCTAACTGAGAATACACTGGCTGCCATTTGATCTTCACTTGTAACTTTGTTGTGTGAAGTTATTCAGAACTTGGAAAGGTGTATCTGTGGCTTGAATACTTAGTGGAGAGAATAAACCACACACATATATATATATAAGAGGGGAAGAGGTTGAAGATATGAAGGAAGCAAATTTGTGGTGGATGACACATGTTCTGGTCCATGGTTGCAAAATGAGACATGTCCCACTATCCACCTAAGATGACAAATTTACAACCATGAGCTTGTCTCCTTTGCCAAACCCTCTTGAGAGGGACTGCTCATCCACTATTACTGACTAAGGGTCATCCTTGTCCCCTCATTGTAAATGGCTATCCTTTTTGTGGGATGTGTCTGCATCAATTCAGCTACATTGCATGTTATCTTCTATTTTGTTTTATTTTCTTTGACTGATTAAATAATTACATCAAAGGGCACCCTTGTATCCATTAAATATGAATGACCAATAAATGATGATAATGTAAAATAATACACTGTTTATTATAAGTTGGTTGCTTATAAAGACATATTCTTAATGACGGTTATACTTAATAGTCTAACCACATTTTTGCCTATTTATAAATCAAATAAAATATTAAACCAGACAGTGGGTGAAGTATTTTATATATCATTATGACTAAATGATAAGATTATCATGTAACTATAAAAAGGTTCTAAGGCATATCTCATATCTGCAAAATAAATATATAGGCCAAGATATTTAAATGGAGCTTCCACTTGTACTAGGTGGCACAAGATGATGAGTGTTACTTCCATATTCCAGGAGCAAGATTTTTCTTCCCTCAAGGAACTTTCTTAATTAGCCCTTGATTTTAACTGAAATTCAAGGTGGAGGGAGGAAGAAGTTTTACTCCAGAGGGATATATAAGAAATTTTCCATAATTAGTGACATTGTTATAGTGAGAAGTGGGGCCAACCCTTCAAGTCCAAGGCATGGTTGACATGATTCACAAGACAAACCACTACTATTCTGTTTGAACAAGCTGACTCAGGTACACGTTGCTTATAATAGAAGATGAACATTGTCTTTTGTCCCCTTATGCAAATTCCTTTTCCCCATCAGAAGAGATCAAATGACCTTAAATCCCATATATGATATTTAACATCTTTCTTTAATACTAATTAACACAGTCACCACTCAGATTTTTTAATACCTCAGTGAAAGGCTGGGCTCAATCAAATATTACTTGAAAGAAAAAGGTATTTGAAATATTATTGAATTGTGTAAATAATCTGTACAAAGAGGTCTCTATTTATAGAGAATGAAAAATCCTAATACTTGACCTAATGGGCTTGGACCAATACAACAAATAATAATAATTAAATAACCAATATTTACAACACTCCCCCTCAAGCTGAGGAATAGATATTTATCATTCCCAGTTTGCTAGTAAGTTCTTGAAATTTGTCTGAAGGAAGTCCCTTTGTTAATAGATCAGTCAATTGACGCCCAGTGGGAATGTATGGAGTGGTAATCAGCCCACTATCAAGTTTCTCTTTGATGAAATGACGGTCAACCTTAATATGTTTAGTCCGATCATGTTGAACTGGATTATGAGCTATACAAACAGCAGACTTATTATCACATAGCAGCTTCATAGGTCCCTCATATTTTATTTTGAGATCATCAAGTACAATTTTCAGCCACAATAACTCACAAATGCCTTGAGCCATAGCTCGAAATTCAGCTTCTGCACTTGATCTGACGACCGCATCTTGTTTCTTACTTCTCCATGTCACCAAGTTACCGCAAAAAAACATGCAGTAACCAGTGGTAGAACGACGGTCAGTCACGGATCCAGCATAATCAGCATCAGCGTAAACTTCTAAAGAGAGATTGCCATCACGTCGGAATAATAAGCCTTTACCAGGAGTAGCTTTAAGATACTGAAGAATTCTCTCTACTGCCTGCATGTGTTTCTCCTTTGGATCGTGCATAAACTGACTGACAACACTAACAGCATAAGCTAGGTCTGGTCTAGTATGAGCCAGATATATCAATTTCCCAACTAGCCGTTGATATTGTCCTTTATCAACTGGAGGACTCTCCTTTTCATAGTCTATCCTGTGGTTCTGCTCAATAGGAGTATTAGAGGGTTTACACCCGAGCTTTCCTGCTTCTTTGAGAAGATCAAGAACATATTTCCTCTGGCTGATAAAAATTTCTTTCCTTGAATGAGCTACTTCTATCCCTAGGAAATATCTCAGTTTCCCAAGGTCTTTGACTTCAAACTCAGAGGCAAGCCGTGTTTGCAGAATCTGTTTCTCCACAAAATTATCACCTGTGATAATAATATCATCAACATATACAAGGAGCACAGTAAGCTTCCCATTACGGGAGTGTTTGAAGAAAAGAGTGTGATCTCCTTGACTCTGTCTGTATCCTAAGGTCATCATAACCTTAGTAAACCTTCCAAACCAGGCACGAGGTGACTGCTTCAATCCATATAAGGCCTTTTTCAATCTACAAACTTTATTTTCTCCCTTCATATAATCAAAACCAGGCGAGATTTCCATGTAGACTTCTTCTTCTAACTCACCATTGAGGAAAGCATTTTTCACATCAAATTGATTTATATCTCAATTGTAATGGGCAGCAAGGGATAACAAGACTCTCACCGTATTCATCTTTGCAACTGGAGCAAATGTTTCTTCATAATCAATGCCATAGGTTTGAGTGTAACCTTTGGCAACTAACCGAGCCTTGTATCTCTCAAGAGTTCCATCAGAATTATATTTTAGGGCATAAACCCATCTGCACCCTACTGCTTTCTTTCCATTAGGTCTATCAATAACCTCCCATGTTTTATTTTTCTCCAACGCATTCATTTCCTCTTGCATGGCTTGAGCCCAATTCCCATCTTTCAAGGCTTCATGTACTGATTTTGGGATTGCAAAAGAGTCTAGTGATGAAACAAAGCTTTTGTGCTGCACAGAAAGATTAGCATAGAAAACAAAATAAGAGATAGGGTATTGAGTACAAGAGGGACAGGAAGAACAAGATTTCTTGGGACAAGATCTTTTTCCTTTTCTAAGAGCAATGGGTAAATCATCAGAATCAGCAATAATAGGTAAGTCATCAGAAGTATTAACATCATGATCAAAAATATGAGATTCAGGACTTACCAGTGGTTCAGACGATTGAGGTTGCTGTTGAGGCAATGTGGGTTGTTTCCTTCTTTGATATACCAACTCAGGTGTCATAATCTTCCGTATCTCTAGTGTACTTGATGTATCAGTCACAAGAGGATCATTCACAGGAGGATCACTCACATGAGGATCAGACACAGGAGGAACAGGAACAAGAGGAGGATACACTGACATAGGTAAATGAGTAGACACTGAAGATTCAAACTCAAAGAAGGGGGTGATGAGTTTTCTGGTGAAGGATTCTCTCCCTGAAGATGAGGACCTTGGAAAAAGGACTCAGATTCCTGAAACGTAACATCCATAGAAACAAAAAATTTCCTACTACCAGGGTGATAACACTTGTAGCCCTTCTTATCAGGAACATAACCAAGAAAAACACATTTAATAGCCCTAGGGTCCAACTTACTGCGATGATGTTTATGAACATGAACAAAAGCAACACATCCAAACACTCGTGGAGGAAGACTCATAGTTGGAATAGAAGGGAAAAAGAAGTCATACAGTGAATAGGACTTACATGGTCAAGTACCCGAGTGGGTAAACGGTTGATCAAGAATGCTGCAGTAAGAATAGCATCTCCCTAATAGTATTTGGGTAAATGTGTCTGAAACATTAATGCACGAGCCACTTCAAGAAGGTGACGATTTTTTCTTTCAGCAACCCCATTCTGTTGGGGGGTGTCAATACAAGTAAGTTCATGAATCATACCATTATTTAGTATAAATTGAGAAAAACTGTGATTAACATATTCAGTACCGTTATCTGTTCTTAGTCTCTTGATTTTTTTTACCAAATTGGGTCTCAACCATTTTATAAAATTGAAAAAATAGTTGTGGTACCTCAGACTTTTCACGCATTAAGTAAACCCAAGTTACACGAGTGCAATCATCAATAAAAGAAACAAACCATCTATTTCCAGAAGCGTGAGGGACTTTAGAAAGACCCCAAACATCAGAATGAATAAGATCAAAGGGTGAAACACTCTTAGTAATACTAGAAGGAAAAGACACACGATGATGCTTAGCAAATTCACAAACATCACAATGAAAAGACTCAAAAGGCTTAGACAAAAACAATGACAGAAATAAAGACTTGAGTAAATTAAATGGAGGATGTCCCAAACGCTTATGATGAAGCCAAATCAAAGAATCAGCAGTTGATTGACCATGAGACATCAAGATGTGATCTGTTACTTTAGTTGCGGGAGATTGTGACACCAGATAGTACAGCCCACCTTGCTCTTTAGCATTACCAATCGTCTTCCCCGTGGCGAGATCCTGAAAAACACAATGGGTATGGAAGAAGGTTATAGTACAATTCAAATCTTTTGTAATTTTATGAATAGAAAGAAGATTTGTGGAGAGTTTAGGAACATGAAGAACATCTTTAAGATGTAAGGACTGCTGTAAGTTTATGTCACCAGAACCCGCAACTGATGTATGTGAGCCATCAGCTACGGCTATTTGAAATATTACAAATATTATTGAATTGTACAAATATTATGTCACCTAAACCCTAAACTCTGATACCAACTTGAAAGAAAAAGGTATTTGAAATATTATTGAATTGTGTAAATAATCTGTACAAAGAGGTCTCTATTTATAGAGAATGAAAAACCCTAATACTTGACCTAATGGGCTTGGCCCAATACAACAAATAATAATAATTAAATAACCAATATTTACAACAGCTTTTATATCTCATCCCATTCACAAGAAAATCTGGGTACCACACAATTGTCCCCCACTTCAGCTTTCACGTGAATTTGTGGTGTGAGAAACCTCAAAACCTATTTACTCGCGTTTGGTATAAGAATCGTGAAAATCTTCACAAGAAATTGATTTTCCCAAGATTCCAAATTGTGAAGCTTTAATTCCATATTTTCCCAACAAAGAATACCACCGGATGGGTAGTATTCTTGGATTTTCACCCGGTAGGAAAATTTTCGAAACTTTTCCTTTGATTTACAGATTCTCTTTCTGTTTTTGCAGTTTTTCCACCTTTGTTGTCTTGCGGCCATAGATTAATGATGACAATTGTTTGGCTGTTATTGTAATTTCTGAATCTTATTATTACATTGTTAAAAGTTTTCTGAATCTCATTTTGAAGAGTAGGGAAAAGAATGCTTTTATTGATAGTATTGCACAACCAAGTGATATTTTGCATCCATCGTGTGCAATATTTGACAATTAATCAAATATAAAATCAGAAAATTTGATCCAACATTTCTGGTAATATTTTGAGATACCAAATATTTTGTTAACTTTTTTGGAAAATTCATTTTCCCACCATATTCCTGTGATTACCATGAACAAAAAATTTCTTCTCTACCAAAGATAATCATGTGTTCATCAATGGAACAAAAACTTGAGTCCATGGTCACGAGTACAGTGTTGCCACAAATCAGAAACAAATCGTTGTCGTTGTTGACCTTACATGTCGGCCGCTTATCATCATCGGCAGGCATAAACCAATTGAAATTCCTTCATATTCACTTAATGTTGAGGAACATTCTGTTGAATATTTCACAAAGGTTCATATATCTCATATTTCATAGGACAAGTCCCACATCAAAAGAACCTTGGGATACACCACCTTAAAAGCTAGCTCAAAGGGTGGGAGGGCCTAAAGGCTTTATAAACTCTACTTTAGTTGCTCATACAACCAATGTGGGACTATATATCTCAACACGCCTCCTCAAAATGCAACAGGCCCAGCCTACCTGGGTAGGTTAAGAAATTCCACAAGAGAAAGTGGGGGCGACGAGGTTTGAACCCGGGACACGAGACTCTCGTACCAATAAAGAACCTTGGGATATAAGAATAATTTTTTTTACCAAAAAAAAAAAGAAGCACAAATTTTTTTTATACTCCTGGAGTATATTAAAAAAATCCCGGATAAAGATAAGGACATGTACCCAAAATAAAAAAATAAAGATAAGGACATGATACTTTCTTTAATAACTACTCAAAATGGTAATTACATATCGGTTATATGAGAATTGTTAGGGGTGATAAACGAGCTAGGGGCCTTTGACTCGGCTCGTGAAGGCTCAGGCTAACATGCTTAATATTGGTTGTTGAAACCATACTTGGACTTATATAAAAGCTCGTTTAGTAAAAAAGTCTCAGGCTCCAATTCAAAAGCTCGGCCTTGGAGCCTCTCAGGCTGGCCTAGTATACTAATTTTTATTTTTATTTATATTTTTTATACTATTTGTAATACCCTCTCTCTCCTCTTAATCCATTTTACACCTAATTTATTAGTTAAACAGACTTTTTGAATGATTTTGTTCTATATTATGTTGTTTCGATATACATTGAATTTATGAATATTTATGGAATTACTAGTGTTGTTGATTGTATATTCTGTTTGGATAAATTTTTATTGTCTTATTTTTTTTCTAACAGGCTAACATGCCAAATCAGACTTTTATTTTTTGTAAATAAGGCATGCCATAGGCCGATAATTATATTCGTAACAGGTAACAGGTTTGGTAAGGCCGACACATTTAATCACAGGCTTAGCCTTTTAAGACCAAAGTCCGGCTCGGCTCGGCCCGTTAACACCCCTAAGAATTGTTGATAAAGAAATTGAACCAACACCCCTTATAAGTAATTCAATCATTTCGAGTTGAATCAACTCCTTGAATCCATATCTTTAATTATCATCATATGTCCATTTTAAATTTGGCTCAGTAAAAATACCGGAGAAAGTAGAGTTGTTCCATGTAATACTTAGAAGTATATTCCCCTGTCGGCAAAAATACTAGAACATTTTTTGAAGAGTATTCCCTTATTTGATAGGTAAGAGGTGATATTTTTGAAGCTATCCACATCCCCAACCAAGCATGCTCTTATTGGTGTTTAGTTAACAAAAACAAATCGATTCAATTTCCTTGGAATCAACTTCAACATAATAACTTATATCGGAAGGCCGAGAGAGAATTTTCATACAACAACTAATACAAGTAAAACCATACACATCAATATGCAACAAATAATCAATAGAATAAACATCAATCAAATAGATATTTTTATTTTTTTTCTTTTTTTTTTGGTTTCAGATATCTTCAACTGGAGCAATGGTTGGAAATAATTGAGTCTTTCAAGTTTCAAGTTTCAAGCTACCCCCAATGCCTTCTTGATGTCATTCTGTCAAAGCAACAATTTATGAATCAATTTCACGTCTTAAGGATAAGCATATGTAAGCACATTTTAGCATTTCACAATTGCATGCCAAACACACACAATCATGGAGAGAGAGAGAGAGAGGGAGAGATAGTATACTTCAATGGCCAATGGTGGGGTGGTTGGGCTATAACGTCCAATGACACGACCTTCCTCATCAACTAAAAACTTGGCGAAATTCCACTTGATCCTAGCACCCAAAAATCCAGATTTCTGAGCTTTGAGGAATTTGTATACAGGTGCTGTATCTGGTCCATTGACACGTACCTAAACATAGAAAGGAATTAAATGTGTAAAGTTTGTAACTTAATGTTTGTCAAATGAAGTTTTGATCATAGTTTTAAAGCATCCTATAATGTATTATTCAGCAGGGATCAGAAGCAATAATGAGTTTATACAAACTAACATAACTGTTTGATACTTTCAGCAAAATGACATCCTCTTATTTGAAGATCACTTGCAAATGATCACTGATGAACTTATCAAATAGCATTCAATGAGAAAATATGATTTGAAAAATCAAATCAAGAAATCTCTATATTATTGTCCTATCATATGAGGAAGGATCCGTTTACAAATTACACTAAGTATGACTAGTCATAAATTCTTGATTGAAGTATGATCAATTATACTTAGTATAGTTTATATATAAGAATTTGTAAACAAAAAATATATAAATATAACCTTCCCCATGTCCTATATGGTTATTTTATGCACTATAGCATAAAAACAACCAGTAACAGCAATGCCACTAGAAAAAGGAAAAATGAAATATATCATAAAATCATGAGTAAAGGATACAAACAATTAAGTAAGCATCTTACCTTCCCAAAAATGGGATAGTCAGCCTTATATTTTGTACAGGCAAACTCTTGTGCCTCCTGGCTAGTCCCAGGCTCTTTCTTTAAAAATTGGTTGCATGGAAATGCCAATATCTCAAAACCTGACAGTCAACAAACAAAATATATATTCTCAACTGCGACCAAATTAACTTTTTGCCCATCATTCTAAATAATTAATTAGTTGAAAATGAATAGGTCGCTTCAAAAACATACCTCTGTCCTTGTATCTGGTGTGAAGCTGAGTTAACTGGGTGTAATTGGCATCCGCAAAAGCACTGTTTTTTTTTAACGTGCATGAATTCAGTTAGCCACCCATGAACAATTATAAAAGGAGAAGAAGGAAAGTCTGATTTTTTTTTTTAAAATTCCCTTTTCTTTTGGACATTAAGAAAAGAAAACAAAAATAACAAAGATGGGTTAGAAAATGAAGATAACCATTTTGAAGCAACATTAACTACAAGAAGAACTTTCCCCCTGTAGGTGCTGAGATTCACGTCTTTGCCCCTGGCATCCTGTGCCAACCAGTGACCAAAAAATATGTTAAAAGATGCTAATGATATATAATGCGTTTGTTTTTTTTGATATAACTATACGAAGATTACAACTTTTTTTTTTACAATCATGTCTTAATATCGTTGATTTCCGTCAATTAAACTCATTAATTAATTATTAATTCTCAATAAATGATAACCGTTATTTGACGGAAATCAACAGTGTTAAAATATGATTTTAAGAGGATGTAAAAAAAAAAATTGTAAGTATAACCTTCCTCAAACTATATATAATATACCTTGACTGTGAATTCATGGATGGAATTTTCTGAGATTGATTGCGAAGCACCCATTTCACTGTCTGTCTTATTAAGATGTAAAGCCTCTTGTTCCTATCACCTTTCTCTTCTCTTTCCTAATTTACACGTTAGAGTTTCTCTTTTATGTTGTTCATGTCTTGCACAGCACAAAGTTCAACCATTTATAGCATTCTCATTCTCGATTCTGATTCAATTAGTGGTGGCGCAAAATCTCAATCTTTTTGATAATGAAGTCAACAAATTGTTCCATTTCTTCATTTTTTTTTCAATTGATTAACATAAAATCCAGATATTAAATCTACAATAACAAGTATTTTATTAGAACTTCCTTTTTCTAAGACGATTACAACCAGCATGTTTTTTCATCAATGAATCAATGTTGCGCACTTCATGTTTTTTAAACTATTGACCGATCACCTTACACCCTGGAATCATAACATGGCTCCCATGACATCCTTTTATGTTTAGCAAGAAAGAAAATCAAATTAGAAAAAAAGTTCATTTTATTACAAAAAAAAAAAGTTCATTTTCAGTGATTTACATGGTTTTCTCTTTGTACTACAAATTCAGAGCGCTGGAAGTGCCATACCTGTTACTATCACAGGCTATTAACAACATATAGAAATAAAGGGTTTGTTTACTTTTATGTGGAAACATCTTATGTTAAGACAAAAAATGATGAAGCCCATAGAAAAAGAGAAAATGACAGTATAATTATGAAAGTGTCTATGACATAACATAGTAATCTCTTACAAAATAAGACTACTATTTTTCATAAATAAATGACTCTTCATTAAACCCAACATATAATAAAGGGGAATACATCCGTGACATGATAAAAAAAATAAATCATGCTGATTCATTGAGAAATGTGCTAGCATCTAGCATTTCTTTTAATTTTAATTTTAAGGGTTTATTGTTTGTACTTCAAAAGGATGGTCCTTTTAGATAAATGAAAATGTGTTTTTTCAAATTTTAAATTATAAATTTTTTTCTTCACTCTCTTCCACAATCTCTCCTAAAAGAATGTAAGTGTGTATCCTTTAAAAAGATACACACTTTTCCCTATTTTTAATTGTTCTTTTATAGTGAGGCCCATCAAAATTTGTTAGGGCAGGAAACTTTTTTAATTGCCCTGTTACAACAGACAGATATATTTCCCTATAATAAACTAAGGAAGACCATTTCCAAGAACTCTAACCTTTCGGTACCAAAAAGTACTTTACACCGTTACTCCAAACTCGCCACTAAAAATTACTTTATACCCTTACTCCTCCTGAGTCGCCACTAAAAAGTACCTTACACCGTTACTGCAGACTCGCCCTCTTATAGGCTTATAACAACATATCATCAACAAATTTTAATTTATAATGACGTATCAACCAAAGTGTTCCATACGCAGATGATGACAAATAGGAACCATTTAATCACGAGTCACTTTACCTAAAGTTAATCACCCCATATATATCAAGAAGTCGAACTATATGTAATAGAAAAATATCTTTACTTCAATTTAAACAGCCAGAATGAATGACGGGCAATATTTTATTTTTTTTTTTAAATGTCTTCTTTTTTTTTGAATTTGGCCGTGGGTAAGGGACCAATATCCCAACAAGGACATAAGAGTGGTATTGCACGTTTATATGGAAGATTAGAATTCTGCCAGAAAGTCATGCACCCTTCATGATTCTCAACACTCAAATTTCAAACCCCCACTGCCATGGCCTATGCGATTTTATGCAGAGGGTCCAAATAACCGAAAAGTGGGCTGCCACTAAGACCATGTACTCAGCCTTGGCATATCAGAGTAAACAACGCATTTCTAGGTAAACAATAAATCAAAGAATACAATTGGGAGTCGCCTGAGGGAAGTTTTTCCATATATTAAGAGAACAATTTCAAGAAACATCCCATGAAAATTTATATATATATCTAGCTTCTATACGGGCCTTTCATGAAATAAATTATAATATTTGGAGCCAAAAAATTTTTGACACATGACAACCTAAGTAGGTTACACCTCTCCAACTCTACAATGACTCTTCCTGCCCTGCATTCTGCAGAAGAGGCTAAAATACATATGTACAAATCTAGTAGATCATTCACATGTTCTGTGCAGATTCTGCTGAACCCTCCTCCAAGGATTCTTACATGTACAGAATTATGGATCATAACCACCTCTCCTAAACAAAGCCAGAGCCCAGGCCAAAAAGTGGGTCATACCTAGCAATCAGGTAGGGAAATATAAGTACCAATAATACTGATAGTTGAATGACAACTCAAGACCAGCACATAAAAACAAGTATACCAGCTTGGTTTGTAGGTATTTTCTGATCACCTAGGCTGCCAAAAGCTTGGACCTGAAATATCAATATTTAAAGATCACTATTTCCAGTAATATGCAGAAATTCAAAAGGGAAAAAAGAAAAAGAAAAGGGATGATCAATAAAATATTTCTAATGATAGAAGAACTGTGGGGTAAACAGGAATGCACCTCTGTTTGCAACTGGTATTGCATCTTCAAAGGGTGGTTTAAATGGCATGGAATTCCCATGATTCATTGACCGGGGAGGAAATCTCCACCCGTGACCTGGTATTCTAGTTGATTCATATGGATGACAACCATATGGGGTAGGAACACCTTTGTCCTGATACCGAGGACCTACCCAAGAAAGAAAATTAATTTCAGTATACACGACCAAAGCAAACTTTAGCATGGTCAATTAATTTCAATATACACAACCAATATCACAATAATTATCATTTATCCCAATCTCACCAGAATAAGGTGCAGGAACATTCCATCTCTCTCGGTAATCATATGGAGGTGGTTTTAATCTCTCGTGATTATTATAGAAGTTCTCTCTCTCCATGTTCTGCATAAAGTGTTGTCTATTGGAGTAAGACGGGGGTGGTAGAACCTCCCTTTGTTGCTTCACATGCTGTTCCCCATGAACAAAAGAAAACTGATTGGACGGCACATGGTGAGGCGGCCTTATAGAATATCCTTTATTATGCATAGTAGCACCTTCAGAATGTTGAAAATTGTCTGGAGGTGGTACAGGGAAACTGTTGAAAGAGCAAGTAGATTCCGGCATGTGCATCTGTGTTTCTCTATATTCTGGGACCTGACAGTGCACTGCATCACTGATAGGTTGGCTACTCCTTGGAGCAGCCAAGGGCTGAGGCATAGAGTGGTGCGGGTTGTCTTTCACAGTCTGCAAATGAGCCTAAGTAAAAAGGAAAAAGCACCCCATCAGTTGTCACTTTTGGTGCCACTGACTCTTTAGGAAAGTAAAATCTAAGTAAGAGTTGGGAAAAATACCTGTGAATCTGTATAACCTCTTGAATTAACTACAGTGCAATATGGATCAGAGGTGGATGACATGAGGTGTAGCATAGGAGGTGGAGGTGGAGGTGCAAGTAGAGGAGGAGGAGGAGGAGGAGGTGGTGGTGGAGGTGGAGGTGGAGGAGGAGGTGGAGGGGATGACGGTGGTGGTGGGGAAGACCGAGGCACAACCTGAGGTAGAGGAGCAAAGGACAGGTGAAGATTCTTCTCAAACTCTCTGGCATTTCCTTTATCAACATTAGGTAGGGAATTCGTTTCAACATCGCAAGAGGGAGCCACATCTTCCATTTCAAGCTCACCATCAACATCTTCCAAGATATGCCTGTGTTTTTCAATTGTAGAAGTCATTTCATGTACTTCAGAATTATGCTCTGGCGTGACAGCCTCAAAGTTCCCTCCATCAGAATCGCTCCCTTCATCTTCATCTTTAAGCATTCGAGGCATGCAAAATCCAGGAAGCTGAAAACTTGAGTTGCTGCAAGATCAAATGAAAATTTAAGTAAACACACTAAGTGTACAAAAATATTAAACTCAAAACATTTTATACTAATAAATTCAAACCTTCCATATTCGTCAACAAGCATACCCTCCATTTCTCTAACAGGGTCATCTAAAGCCCTCTCTGTTCTTAATGTCCGTCGTGACTCTCGTGAGAAGACACCTGCAGTGCTATATGAATCCAGTTCACGGATATGGTGGCGAATAATGGATTCTGGTAGGATTCTTCTCTCCAGCCACAACCTTAAAACCTATACAAATCCAGAGCAAAAGATAACAAAGAATGATGATCTAAAACAGAAATGTAAAAAAGAGCACATACTTTTAACGTCTAAGTTCATTATGCATGAAACTTCATTAACTTGCCTTAAGACACTGCCTACGGTTTTCTTGTGCAGTATTTCCAGGAGGAGCAGCAGCAGATAATAGCCGTGGAAGGACTGCTTGGATAGCAGATGGATATACTCCACAAACATCACCTGGAAAATCAGACATTTTATATTCCAATTAATAATCAAAGTTGTCTGGCTTCAACATTTTATTCCTTCTCTTTTGGTCAGCAAGATTCAAGAGTAGCAAAGCAATACACATATTACCTTTTAAACCTCGAGAAAACTGCGCAATAGAGTCAACAAGAAAAAACAAATCCACCCTCCGATGCAGGCTTGACTCAGTTTCCAGATTGTGGGCAAGAATTTCCATGACCTGGAACACAGTCCAACAACCCAAAAAATGCAAATGACATCAAATATAAAACCTATAAGCTTATGTAAGCAGAATTCAACAATTTTGAATCGGAAATAACTGCAAACTCAATTGAATCATTTTGACTCTCATCAAGGTCCAGAAGAATTATAACAATACATACATGTGCCAACTTCTTAGATAGACTCAGACAAAAAAATTCAATGAAACTACTATGTGAGACTGGAATTTAAAATCTTTCAATGTAATTCACACATTATATGATCCACTCTTTCATTCCCTCGTTTACAAGGACATCAATAGTTACATGAATGATCTTAGTATATTTCTCTGCACTGAAAAGGTACCGGCAATGCTGTGTAAACTGTAAAGGGAAAATGCGGAATGGTAGTTATTGGAACTTAATATAAAATTGCACCTAAACTGAAGTTAACTGTAATATATAAAAATAATGATTCAAGAGAAAATGGACAAATCTCAGATTCTCAGTGCCCACGGCTCCTCGACTTTGTGAAGATAGGGATGAGTATCCATTGTATGCAGCCTTATCCTTGCATTTTTGCAAAGAGGTTGTTTCCCAAACTCAAAGCTATAACTTTCAGGTCAGAAAACAACAACCTTAGCAGCGCTGCACCAAGGCTCTCCCTCAATTATTTAAGAGAAAAGTTTCTTAAAAAATAAGTGTATGTGCGTATTCAACTTCTAATGACAATTTTCGCGCTCTTCTAGTTATAGTAAAAATAAAATATTTGGCATTTATGGAAAGTAAAAAAGGACACCAAGGGCATCCGTTTTCTATGATAGTATATATAAAGAAACAACAAACAAACAAACAAAGGACAAACCCCGGTGCACTAGGCTATAACTTTCAGGTCAGAAAACAACAACCTTAGCACTGCTCCAAGGCTCGCCCTCAATTATTTAAGAGAAAAGTTTCTTAAAAAATAAGTGTATGTGCGTATTCAACTTCTAATGACAATTTTCACGCTCTTCTAGTTATAGTAAAAATAAAATATTTGGCATTTATGGAAAGTAAAAAAGGACACCGGGGCATCCCTTTTCTATGATAGTATATATAAAGAAACAACAAACAAACAAAGGACAAACCCCAATGCACTAGGCTCCCCGACTTGCGAGACTAAGGGTGAGGATCAATTGTATGCAGCCTTACCTGAGAAGCATGGTTTCATTACTAAAAGGAAGTTTTGAATACGTAACTACAACGTATCATCGAATCATCAACCATGCTACCTTGACTATCTAAATTTGACCTTAAAATTATTTTAATATAATTGTCATGGAACAAACTTACATTTACAATGATTTAATAAGCAATTAAACCTCTTTCCCCACTCTCGAACCCATATTATCCTTTCTTACTTTAATGCCACAATGAAAATAGAGCTAAATAATGCAAAAAAAAACTAATAAGATTATGAAAGACGAACTAAAATAAAAAAGCATGGATTTTATATTTTTTCAAAAAATGTTTTCCGACTCAAGGCTCCACATCAAGCACAACACAATCTTCAAGACCCAAGCTAGCCAAATGACCTTGCCTCCAAACGTTGGTATGGAAAAACCTAAGTATTCCTTCCAATGGAATCCCAATTCTACCTAGACACTAGATTGTTAATATCAAACTAAAGTTTCTAAAATTCAAATTTAGAATTCAGAAACAATACTTCTATCCGCCTTCTATTCATATCCAGCATGTAGACATTATTTTTAGAGAGAAGAGGGAAAGAAATCAAGGTCATAGTGAAGAACAAGGGCACATGAGACAACAAAGTTTTACCCATGCTCAGTTTTCATACCAGTATCCCATCTTCCACTCACAGTTGAAGCCACAACTTCCAATAAGTTTTTCCACAATAAGAAGAATCGGAAGACTGTGGTTACAAACCACAAAGACAAATTGTTTTTGTATCTTGTTTTAGTGTTGCATTTTTCTTTTACTTATTGGCAATGGCAATATTACATGCACTTGGAAGATTCAGATTGCATGAGCCCAGTAGTCCAAATAAAAAAGAAACCCTAAACAGATGCAATTACCAGAATAAAAGTAGAACTAATCTAAAGCAAAAAGTTTTCATAATTAAATGATGAAAAATTTCAGAAGAGAGGAGGCAGAAAATTCAAACAAAATAAAAAATCATATTACCTTAGCTGCAATGCCAAACTTCGCACAGTCGATAGCTATACGTGTTGCGCGACCAATACTTTCCTTTGTCCTTGTCAATGTCCCAAGCATTGCTTCAAAGTACAACAACGCAGCACGTCCTGCTTCAGTTGACTTGCCCATGGATCTTGATTGTTGAGTTGTGATGTACCCATCTTTACTTCCATCAGCAAGACCAGATAAAGTTTGTTTCTGGTGTAAATGTACATCGGGGCTACAACTTCCATTGTGAATGATATTACTACTGTCTGATGTAGAAACATTGCAAACTGACGTATTTGGAGGTGATCCTTGGGGAATGCAATCTCCCCCATCTGTCAAGGATGGACTTGACCGAACTCCCAAAATACCCTTTTCACCCAAAGGGCCATCAGATGTTGAAACAGAATTCATATCCTCCTCTGGTCCTTTACATTTTATCTCTTTCACAACATCACTCCTAAATTTAAAAAATAGATATGAGCTTTCTCGAATTGGAAAAAAGATGAAGTATAAATAAATATCCTTCAACAATCGGTCTAATTCACATTCGCTATCATTAAAACATTAATTAAAAAATATCAATTTAACATGTAGAATTCCACCAAGCAGAACACCTTCATTAGTGTTCAGGGTATAAAATACAACTACTTACACAAAAGAATGATCTAAATAAGGAAATTATAAGTTTTTCCTGCCATATTGTAACAAAACACCATAACAGAAAAGACAAAAGCAGGAAGCTTTAGTGGTTTAAGACTATGAAGATTGTTTTTAACATTTTCCATTCTTTTTTTTTCGTTTTTAGCTTTGAGGATATGCACAGGAGAGTTAGAAAGCTAAGTAAGAATCACAACAAACCACAACTAAGCTTACATGTCATTTGTTTTCCTAACGTCACCATCTGCTGGCTTCAAGCACTCCATGTCCTTACAAACTGCAGCTTCATTCTGAGGCACGTCAGTATTATTTTGAGGTAAATAAATATCCTTTTTGATGGCATCCCCCAAATGATCAAGGCTCATTCCAATGTGTTCTGATGCATCAGATGCTGTATTTGAAAGATTCCCAGATCTGGTATTGTCTTCATTTGGTGGTAATGACGGATCTGGTGAATCTTGATTGCTTCCAACTTCACAACATTTCGAATCAAGATTCGGAGAAATTTGTCCATGTGACTGAATTTTCAAATCTGCTTCAGCAGTCTGACAGACCACATAATTACTATGCTCTTCACCAGCTTGATCTGTAGCACCTGAGAGAACATCCTTATCAGTTTCATGCAGTTGGAATTTGGTCAACTGCTTATCCACTTGCATAGATTTATTTTCAGCTGAAACTACTGGATTTGAGCCTTTCGAGAAACTAAACACGTTGAAATGAGAAGAATCAGTGCCACAAGTATCCAACTTTTGCTGTCCTAAATCATTACCTTCTTGATTATTAATGGCCATACACGGACATCCCTTGACAGCAGATATACAGCATGTAAGACTTGATGTCATTATGGAGGACGACGCTTCCATATTAGCTTGACCTTCTTCAGCAGCATTAGCTGACATGGCTTCTAAAGCACGGTGGAGGCGTTTAGATGGAGGTAAAGCAGCTTCACCATCCACAGAGCAGAATGTCTGCTCTTTCTTAGTATTATATATCATAGTGTCAGAACATGGAGCTGAAATCTTTGAAGGAGAAACATTTTCCAAAGCTCCATTCAGCACAGATGAGTCTCCATCAACAGGGCTACCATTCTCACAATTTGAGGATGTGATCATCTGCTGCGGTGAGTTAATATATTCCTTACAGCTTTTTTCTTGAGCTTGTGTACTGCTATTAAGTTCTACCTCAGTGGGTGATGATTTACCCATTCTAACTCTTGCTCGTTTCACAAGTGGCAAGTGTTCATCTCCGTCTTGCTCCAAGCATTTCTCTTGTGAATTTCCACCCATATTCTGTGAGCTTTGACTGGTATTCTGCGCAGCAGTCTCCTCCTCTGCTCTAACAGTCGGCTTGGAAGCCTCATTGGTTGTCCTCTTCCTATTTGGTTTTCTTTTCTTCTTATTAACTACAGCCTTTATTTCAAGATCAAGCCCTTTGTTTAACTCAACTTCTTCTACACATTCAATAGTCTCAGAGTGTTCAAGTTTAAAATTTGAATCTATTGTGCTGCCCTCATTCAGGCTAAACCCATCAGAATCAATTGTGAGAATTTCAGAATCATTGTCCTCCATGCTACCATATGAGACAAAGGCAGATGAATCTAAATCATTACAGCCAGAAAGATCAGGTGATTTCCCAATACGTTTATTCCTTCTTGCAGATGCACTCTGAGTAGCATTAGTTGATAGGTTGCCAGCACTCTTTCCAATATCACTGCAAGGCATCAAAAAGTTTTGGACCCGTGATGAGGTCCTAGACCTTCGTACCAGGGTATGTCTGTGTGTTACACAGCCCTGCATGTACAAGTCACCAGTAGATCTTTTTCGAGAAGAGTATGTAACCGGATTAAGTGCTTTTACTGCAGCAGCATTGTCAGTAGGCTCCTCCAATGATACCTCCTTATTATGAGATTCATCCTTCAAAGCTGAGTCATCCTCAGCTGCACATGCCAACTCATGTCTGTCAATAACAGAATTTGAAGGTTTCGTTGGTAAAGCAAGTTTCAATTCAGGAGCGTCTGCCTGATCCTTGGCAGATGAGTTAACTGGATCTGAAATGTGTGCATCGGCAACTTCACCACCTGAGTTAGCTACATCAAGTTGGGTCTCATTCTTTAATTTTTCATAACTGTCAACAATCTCCTGAACAGCACGAACAAAGTCAGCACCCTTTCCTTGACGTTTGACAAGAAGTGATTGTTTTTTCTCCTCGGTAAATGCTTCGACATCAGCAGGATTGCAGAAAGCTCTGCACAAAAAATACCATTACAAAACTAACACAACTTAGCAAGCTAAACAGATATATGACATCATGTGCAAGGGGAAAAAATAACTAAATGCTAAGAGGGAGTTCAAAAGCTTCAAATAAAGCCACAATTTATACTGTAACCAAGAAAAAGCCATACTTTATTACGACTCAGACTTCCTAACATTCCACTTTGCAACATGACTATAAGAACTCTTACATAGGGACAACAAATTCGGCTTAAAAATTATTGAAACTTTGGCCACTTGTTCAATCAAATCACCCATGAAGAAATTGAATTTCAAACTTCTACATCTCCTGACATTATCCGCTCTTCCCCCTTGATGATGGTTTGAATCAGTTCCTTCCTTTAAAAGAGGATTCTACCAATACTTTGTCACAAAGAATCTAATTCAGTCATATCAACCTTATTTAACATTTAAAAAAAACTAAAAACTGAAGTGGCAATTCCCAAATAAAATACATAAACCACTAATTTCAAAGTTAAAATTTGCTTTAAATCTTTCCCCAATCAGTCAAAAACCTCAAATACTCATGAGTCGATCCTCCAGTTACAACTACGCCATCTAGCACCAAGCTGTAGTTCTGTCCATTCTCCAACCCCAAAAGCAACTGTCAAAACAATACTCCACTAGACCACCGTACTCACCCAAATAATCAACATGAACATTAATATCACTTTTATCCCAAACTAATTGGCATCAGCAGTCAGTAAACCCAAATAGAAAGCAAAAAAAGATTGAGCGAAAAGAAAAATAAATAAAAAGCAGAGCCCCACACTCGAGCCAAATAATAATAATAATAATAATAATACAATAGAAAACAATAAAATTTTAGTAATGTATCATTACTTTAGATAGTATGATTTGTAAGAATATAGTTCCAGGTAGGCCATAGAAATTCACAATATATAATCATAATTGTCAGAAGTCACTGATGAAACAGGACGAGATGCCAAACTCTAAAGTAAATGAACTGACAGCTTTCTTACAACAACGTTTAGGGCATGAATTAAAGGATTTTAAATACAAAATACCTGAATCCAAATTATACATATTAGTTTACGGATTAGAAGTTTAGAACAAAGACTCAAAAGTTATAAAGGATCTCAAAAAAAAAAAAAACCTAAAAACTAAAACCCACCTCATAATCTAGCACTTAAACAGAATAAAGCAAACCTAACAACACAGATATATCAATATTCTCATGTCAGCTGCAATTACAGCAAGATTACTAAACTCTCACTGCTCTGTACAACCAGTTCATAACTTCCTGCCTCAGAGATCAACTATTCAAATCAATAAGAAAGTAGAAAAGGTGAATTAGTTATGCCTCTATAAGCTTAGGAATGGGGTAAACAGAAAACAGTGAATTAAATCTAGAGTCCACCTTGCACAACAGCAGAAAAAAGATTACAGACAAAATAAGCAACTAGCCAAATAGATTCCAAAACATTTGGGTCATCAAATATAAGAGATATATTTGCCTTGTACTTTTACTTTACTGATGTATTGAGTGTATAATAGAGAGGATAGTATTATTGGGTTTCACTAAAACTTGTCTCTCAACAGTCAAGGGACTAATTCAAGATTTGATGATTCAACCGTGGTTGAACTGGAAAAAATACACACATAAAATTTGGTGCCAAGGTGGCTATTGAGCACATGCAAAACCCTTGAACAGGGGGGCGGGGGGGGGGGGAACGCAAATTATTCAGGAAAACCTGATAAAATTTCCGTAAACAATCTTGCAAGGGGAACCCATGTACATATTAGAGAATAGCTAGCTTACTGTGCATCAGCTTATTAGCTGATCACACCCTTGTATTAATTGGTTAATCAGCTCCTGATTCTAAGGAGTTAGTTAGATAGCTCATAACCACCTAGCTCATTGTATTAGGCTTAATCTGAAGGTCTATATAGTGACCTCGGTGTACATTCACAGTTAGTCTTTAAGATCAATAATATTCAGTCTCTCTCTCTCTCTCTCTCTCTCTCTCTCTAGTTCATCTTACTTTCGTTTATGGTATCAGAGCTCCAATCTTGGGGCCCTGATCCATTTCTTACTCTCATCCATGGCTTCCGCTACACAAAGTTCTAATGATACTAGTTCTTCAGCTACACAAAATCCTTCGGGAGACTCCAAATCATCTATACTATTCAATACTCAAATGTCAGTAAAGCTATCCAACAAAAATTTCCTCCTCTGGAAGCAAATCGTTGAACCTCCCATTTTAGCACATCAACTTGAACGTTTCTTGGTTAATCCAAGAATTCCTGTGAAGTTTCTATCAGAAGAAGACAGAGTCGTTGAAAAAGTAAATCCAGAGTTCATCGAGTGGGAGAAAACGGATAAGATGCTTCTGACATGGCTGCAATCTACGCTATCTGAAGAAATCATCAACAAAATCCTTGGTGTACGTCAGTCTCATCAAGCCTGGGACAAGATCCACAGGTATTTCGAATCTGTAACCAAAGCAAAAGCCAACCAAGTTAGTTCTGAATTACATAATATCAAGAAGGATGACAAAACTATCGAAGAGTATATAGCACGAGTCAAAGCACTTGGTGACGTCTTACTGGCCATAGGAGAACCACTCTCTGAACGTGAACTTGTACGCACTGTACTCGAAGGCTTACCTGAGGACTATGGTTCGTTCATTACCTACTTCAGAGGAAGAGAATCCAACACGTTTGATGATCTCGAAACACAGCTTCTAGCTCAAGAAGCTATGCTTGCAAAGTTCAACTCCAGCTCTTTGAGTCTCAGCTCCGTCAATGTAGCTCACAATGCACCTCTGTTTGCCCCTGTTTCAGGCGTTCAAGAACAGGGGAATCACAGACGACCTGAAACACTGCAACAAGGATCCTTTGGTCAAGGAATCAATGCAGGAGGATACTTTCCTCCATTACGCGGTGGTTGGCGCGGTGGTCGTGGCCGGTATCGTGGTGGCAGAGGTGGTGGAAGTCACTGTCTCGTGTCAACTTTGCCGGAAACCAGGCCACGAAGCGGCTAACTGCTGGTGGAGATACAATTCCAACTTCACACCTCCACAGCAAACTCAATCACGGTTTCCGAGCACCACAGTACCACACACGAACTTTCCGGCGACAAGGATTCATTTTTAATATACATTCAGTATTCTATAATATATTCAGTATTCTATAATATATATATATATATATATATATATATATAACATACTCAGAATTTCAATAAAAAATACTAATTAATAATATATTATAGAGTTTTATTTCTACAAGATTAATATTAGAGATGGAAGGAGGAAGGGGTATAAATTAATAAAAAGAAGGAAACAACATGGCTGAACAAGTCAAATACTTGTGCTGTTTTTGTATAAAAACGTGGAGGCCATGTTTTTGTATAAAAAATTATTATATTATACTCAAAGGCAAAACGTGGAGGTCATGGGCTGAATAAGTCAAATGTGCATGCTGTTATCTCGAGTTTTCATATATTATATTATACCCCATTTCTTAATACTCTGGCCATGTCCTTTTAAAATTATATATAATGAATAATATATTCTGTAATATACTGATTATATGATATTCAGAGTGTTCATGTAAAATAAAATTATAATATATAAATAAAATAACAAAAACATTAAAAAATATTCAGAGTGTTCAGAAAACAATGAAGGCTTGATGCGTTGCTGAATATCAGTCTGACTTCGAAGCGAGAAAAGTAGAAGACAAAGAGAGCTCGAAGGTAGAAACTTCGTAGCAAAAAGTAGAAGACAGAGAGCTTGGAGGCAAAAAATAGAAAGGCTTGTTCGTACTTCGTAGCCAGAAAATGTAGAAGAGAGATTGAAGGCAGAAAATGGAAGAGAGAGAACAAAGGCAAAAAATGAATCAGATAGAGAAGAAAGGCAGGTAAAAGAAGTAACCTAGCGGCGGAGTAGAAAAAGCCCAAGTAGGTTCAGATTAAAAAGTCTATCTTACCCTTAAAATTAAAGTTTTAGACCATTATACCCTCCATTCCTCCTTTTCCATTGCTTTCTCACTGTAGCGTGCAATTGCCCCGCTAACCACGCTATCCGCTACTGCCGCTACATTGAACAGTAGCGTTGCGTGCATTCTGTTGCGGCATATGGCCGCTACCCGCTACAATAGCGGTATTGCGCGCTATTTTCATCTATGGTTAGGACCTTGCTAGAAAAAAGCAAAAGGTGTGAAACAGATTTGATGATTTTATGAGGAGAGAGCTGAGAAATCTTCCTGGCTCCTTAGGTGCAATGGGGTTGTGCAAGAAAGAACAGGTGCTGCAGCTGATGAGGAAAAACAATTTCAATATCTGCAGAAGCATCATGGTCATATGTTTGCAATTCACAATACCCACCGAAAAAATAGTTGATGTGATTGAAGCTTTGGACTAGCAGACGTCCGCAACTCAACACTACCCTATGATAGTGCCACTGTTCGGTTTGATTGACTTCATCGCATCGAGTTTTGTATAAAAACATTATGTTCCACAAAAATTATCATATATGTTAAACCTTAAAGTTGTTATATGTTGCTACACACTGATCATGTAACTTTGCAGAGTTAATCTCATGAGCTCCAAATAGGTTGTAAGAGGAGTACATTTGACCTAATAGTAGATTAGAACAATGTAGTTAATGGCCGAAGGGAGCGCAGAGCAGCAACGTAAAAATACACTATTGTGGCATAGAGGATGGTAAATTGGCCACTACACTGAAGATTACATATGTGATATAAAAGCTTCACAAATTTGTCAGCCACTCATATTGATACTCAAAATTCATCAACATCAACATCAACATCAACAACACCTTTATCCCAAATTAATTGGGGTCGGTGGTAGATGAACCCACATGAAAGATACAAAACGGTTGGAAAAAAAAATAAAAAAAAATAAAAAAATTATGACATGTTCTTCATGAAGATTCAAAAGTTAGATGAAACAAAGGATTAATTAAACTTGCAAAACAGAAGCTTGAGCTATGTAGCACCAACACTGACAAGTGACATGACACCGTATGACACTCCAACACCTCAATTCTAAAACAATCTAGATTTTAACACGTTGGGACACATTTTAAAATTAAATAATATTTTTAATATATATAGTGTATATTACATTTCATATTCAATAATTTAACAAAAAAAACGAATCAGAACTGATAATATTCATCAATTTAACCAGATTTTATGTTATTTTTTTTTAACTAGTTTTTTTTCTCTTCTTCGGCCAACTAGGTAGATGCCATATTATTATAAAAATCTTGTTACTCAAACCAACTCCGTAGACAATCAACAAGGTAGACACCATATTATTATAATACTATCCAACATAAAATAAAAAGAACAAAGAAGGGACAGAGGAAGAAAAAAAAACACTGGAAATCTCAAACGAACAAGAAGAGAAGATTACAAGAATCTTATAATATAATATAAAATAACATATATATGCAGCATAAGATAAAAAGAAGAAAGAATGGAAAGAGAAAAAAAAAAAGTACGAAGAAAACAAAACAGTGGAAGGAAATCAACAACAAAGAAGAAGAAGAAGAAGAGAAGGGGGAAGAGAGAGTGGTGCTTCCCCCTCACCTCGCCGTGTGCGCTCGACGCATCACCGTCTGATGGTATGAGTTAGGGTTTTGTTTTAAATTTTGAGAGGGTAGAAATGAGTTGTCTATTCCAAGTGGGAAAGTAAGGAAAGTGAAAGTTTTTAACTTTTTTTTAAAATGTATTTTAATACTTTTACAATTATAATTTTATTAATATATTATAATTTTTAAAAAATTATAATTTTATTACAAAATTGCCATATGACTGTGTCGACATGGTCAAATTCGCATGTCAGATTGGTCAACGCGTCGAGAATGTTGACCACGTGTTGGACACCGTATCGAAGCGTGTCAGATAGTGTACGACACCAACTCTTCAGGTTTTTTTAAGTGTCCGTGCTTCATAGGGCTGGAGCCTGTGAAACAAAGGCTGGACCTTGCAACACAGTGAATGTCCATCCTTAAATAAAACAAACCAAAACCAAAATCTTAAGAATAACAGAAATAAGAACTCACCTTCGTATTTTCTCCCTCTAACGCATAAAACTATACCAACAATTCATAAGCTAAAATGAAGAATAAAATAATCACAAATGTATAAAAATATGATGTCCTGGTGATACTTGCACCTCTAGTCTGACACTCTGACTCTCATAACCAGAACATGACCTAGTTGGTAACCACTATTATTAGCTCAAACTACAGAGAAAATAATCATGGAACAAAATCTTCTAAATCTGGTTTCAACCAAAATATACACATACCATATAACACTGAGCTAGCTCAAAGTAAGCATCTCCACAACAAGCATATCCTCATAAGAGAGCTACGATGATGGAAAACCATCAGCTTTTAGCTTGTTAATACAATATTGAAATAGTTTTTATCCCAAAAAAATAAAAAATAAAATAAACAACTTACACTCAAATGATTTAATTATACGCTGCACATAAAAAGGGAAGTCAGATTGACATACAAACACCATAATATCTACACCTTCCTAGTCAAGCACCTAGAAATAATATTGGTAAAGGGAAATTATTAATTAATACCACAACCTACAACTTCCTGGAAAAAACCAATAATTGAGATATCAACAAGAAGATTACAAACAAAACTTACTACTTAGCATCATATCCATAAGTCATCATGGTATTATGGACATCATATATGTACCGTAAGCTTCAAGTTGCCTTGGTTACAAATATATTTGATTCCTTAAGTGATTCAATACACACCGATTGCCATAAGCATACTACCAGCAATTAAGTAATCAAATGAGACATAACTTTGAATACTTACATTTGTTGGGTTCCGAAGAAGTAAACAAGCACTTTCTTCCAATCAGTGGAGTAACCCCACTTCTCTGGCTCACTGACCTGCCAGAAGCAAAGAACATGATAGGTCAAACGAAATTTCTACTAAAAACAAGATAATAAAAAATAATGAAATTCATAGTGTTAATTTTTTTAACCAGAATCCCCACTTTTTTTACATCTTTACTGACAGTGCTTTTGGTTGGAAAGTAAAGAAGGGTGAAATTAAAGGGATTAAATTTTAATGGAAAAAAAGTTTGGTTAGTGGGTAAAAAAAGAGAAGCAATTTTATAGGAGTAACTTTTCCTTTAACTTAAGGGGAAAACTTACTCTAATCCTGACAAAGGTAACATTTCCTAGTCTTGCATTCTCTCCTCTCTCACACTCTTGCTTTCATTTCTCTCGCACTCTAGCTTTTGTCTATCTTGCTTTCGATTCTAGTTTATTCTGATAAACAAAATTGCCATTGATGATGATGGTGTTGTGACGACGAGGATGGAGGACATGCATTGGATTTGGATGTACCGCAAGATTTTTTCTTTCTGTTAGAAAGCAAAGTGGAACAACTTCAATCAATCCTAGATTCCCTAAACAGAGGGAAAATGAAAGGAGATTTCTCCATTTCACTGCTTCTCTTCCCATCCCAAACTTTCACCAAACAGGGGCTAAGAAGATCCCTTTTTAATCCTCACATTGTGGGGCAAACGGGTTGAAAATGGGAGCTCTTTTGTTCCCGGGTACATTAGCTTCCTTCAGATTATAGATAAGCTTACAAAACAAAAGGGGGAAAACAAGGTGAAAATGGCTTAAAAACTATTTCATCCATAACAATTCCAAACCTGATGAGACAAAGCAATTTTAATTCATTATCACATACTTTTGAGAATATTAATCATTTAAGATTTTCACCCTTAAATTTTAAGCAAGTACCAGACATTGCTTTAGTAGTGTTAATTATTCATCGCCCTCTTCCCCACCAGGAGGAGAAAGATGGGATACTCAAAGCCCCAGGTGGTTTCAGCCAATGGTCTCTACTTTCTACCTTGTCCATCGCCTGCATGCCTTCTCCATCAGAAGCAATAAAGAATTAAGAATTCACAAATAATTCAATTTTGAACACTTCCCGAACCTGTTGAAGTTACGCAGTAAATACCTCTACAAGGTAGTCATTTGGTTAAGTCAAGAAGGTTTGGGGCATGACAGGTTTGGGGTAGGTAAACCCGCACAGAAAGCTCATCGAAGAAAAGCACACAAAAAAGCATGAAATTTAAGCTAGGATCCATAATAATCCCACAAAAACCCTTAATTTAAACCAAGAATTCTAAAGTCTACCCAACATGCAACCCAGATACATATCAAAAGGGCATTTCAAACTGCACAATCAACCGAAAAAATAGAAACATCAACTGCAAATTGCAAAATAGAAAGCGGCACATACCGTGGCAGGCCATGCAGGGAACCCCTTAACTTTGGCAAGTACAAGATCGCCCACTTTCCATTGGCGGCGAGCAGCGGCCGCCGCCGCTGCTTTACTGGCGCCCTTTCGGCGGCTAGGAGCCATAGGAACCCGGCGCCGCTATAGTCAAATGAGGGGAAGAAGAGAAATGAACTGAATCGAATGCCAAATTCGCTCAATAATGGAACGACCTGGCACTGTGTAGAATTTACTGAGAGAATTGGCAGGCATTGAAACGCGAGGGATCACAGAGAGAAGGAAAGGCAGTGGCGCTAGAAAGAGAGAGTGTGAAAGAAAACCCTAATCATCAGAGAGAGAGAGAGAGAGAGAGATTTTGTGGAACGCAAGTGGTTTTCACAGAGAGATATGACTTGGTTAGGTGGATGCTAATGTGCGCACGGAGCATGGGCTCTTAGTATTTTGGAAGTGGGCTAACGTGCGCTTAATGCTGACTATAGAAATGAGAATTGAGATATGATGGATACTTCCGTTAACTCCGCGCACGTGACATGACTGTGGCCTAAAATGATCCATGTTCCCCGTTGGGCTCAAACTCTATTTTGGGCCTCATTGGGTTCACACAGGACTGTGAACATTTAAATACATTGAATTTGATGTGCTTCTAATCATCCCCGTATCAATTAATTTTAAGAGAAATTTAAAATCATGAACTTATTTCGAAACGGATTAAGCGGAAGCGATGAAAGATTAAATATTTAGCTATTCAATTACTCATCGCTAGAGCGTTCAACAGATTAATGTGTAACCGTCCCATTTTTTTTTATACTTAGCCATCCCAATATTTTAGAGCAAAGAAAAAATCATTTTCGTTGTTTGAGAATCTGTGTCATCCGCGATGTCTTGTGAATTATTCGTTATTTTATTATTTATTTATTTATTATTGTATAATTTTTAGGTTTTAATATTTTTATAATAAATATAAATAAGTTATCTATATTCACTTTCGAAATCACATACTTTTGAGTTGAAAAATTAAAAAATTATAAGAAGAAAAACTATTATAATCTTAAAATAAATTATAATTATAAAAATATATTATTTTTCGTTTCAAAATAACGTCATTTTATGCTCAATGTAAATTATTTATCTATATTAACTGCAAAAAAAACTAACCGAATTTTTTATGACAAAATATGAGTATAATGTTGTCGAATATAAAAACATCATCCTCCCGAGCCATTCATAGGAATGCCTCCTTTTTTTTAAAAGAAAAAAACCATGGGCCCACCTCAATTTATATATGGAGGAAACTTAATTTTTCTTGGCGCAACATGACAAATATGTAAAACCGTTTTTTGGAGTTACATTGGAAAAAATGGGTGTCATTTTAAATGATATATCTTGTATCCTTTTATTCTTATAAGGAAGTGAGATTCACACCTTTAAAAAGATTTCTATTCACTCTCTCTAATAATATATCTCTTTTTCTCCTTTAAAATAACACAATTTTATATGGCATATTTTGCGAGTTGCATATTTATTTGGCTTCAAGACTGATATCAATCAACTTTCTTCGGCCTTTATTTACGTGGTAGACAATGTTGTTAAAATAGAGATTTTAAGTAAAATTGGAAGGGACTAAAAAATCGTAAAATGTAAAATCGCTTTGAATATTGGTAAAATCGTTTTGATGAAAAAAATCGTAAAAACATAAAATCGTAGTGATAAATCAAAATTTTAAGAACCATGGTGATAGGTGGTGCTACGTTGACAAAATGGAAGTGGTGTACTAGCGGAAACTCGGTACTCGATATAATGGAGAATCATTTTTTGTTGTGAAATAGTGAGATTGCGGCATATCTTCAACAATATATTTGGCCGATTTAGTGGAATAACCTAACATACCGATTTAGTGGAACATGATTATTCAGAAGAGATTTTGAGAAGATAGGACCAGGAATATTGGAACAAAAAATAAGCCCAATATACTGGTTTGAAACAAATTGTATACCAAATCAAATGCATTTACATCATTTATAAATTCAATAATCGTTTATAAATTTGATTGTTTCCTTCTTTTCAGTTAAAAATTAATATATAGGGCTAACTTAAGAGTTGATGGGCTTTAAAAAAATATTTTTTATGCATTGTTTTTATTTGGAAAAACTTTGTAAATACCCTGATGTTTAATTTAGAATTAAAAATGTCTCTAACCTTTTTTTAATCAACAATACTTTTAAAGATTAAAACACTCATACCTCTCTCTAATAACTATAAAATAACTCTATTAAATTATTGTGATTGTTTTGACAACCAATTGTATTAATGACATTTATGAATCTAATGGAAGGTTTTATGTTATATCAATTTTGTTTCATTTGTTTAATTGAGTTTCATATTGCGTTGCAGAACAAGAGGCGTTTATTATTCACACAAAGCAGGATAATTAGTAAGAAATAAAGCCTCAAAAGAGATTAATAGTAGCGTGAAAAACATAGAAAGGGAAGAAAAGCTATAGACATGATTGAGGATAAAAGCCTATAAAGAACAAGAAACGAAGAAAAAAATTCTAATTTAATAAAGAGTACCAATTACCTACCTCGAGCATAATCATCTTCTCTATTTTCATGTGTTTGGCAGTATGAAAAGAGTATCAAGCGAAAAGGAATGTATAAATTATACTTATTCAACATGAGATAATTCATTTTTCTACACACACATAACAAAGGTAGGTTACACTTTTATTTTTTCTCTCTCCAATTATTTGTGGGTCCCTCTTATTATTTTGTTTCACCAACATAAGATACCTACATCAACATAAGAAAAATATTTTCCATAAATTATTGTATAAGGGAATCCTAATATTTAGGAGAAAACCGAGGTAGAAGACAAAGCTGCTTTGTGTTTGTAGACAATTAGATGACAAAACAGTCACAATATGATAAATTTTAAATGTGTTATTTGAAGTTAACATAGGGATATTCGTGTTTTAAACGTTAGAGACATTATTGATTAAAAAATATCAGGGACATTTTTATTCGAAGGGAAACATTAGAGGCATTTATAAAATTCCTTTTTTAAAAAAAATATAAATATTTTAAAGTTAGAATTATTTTTCATTTGGATCAATATCTAATAAGCATTTTAATTTAAAAATAAACATCTTGACTTAAAAAAACCACATGTTTTACTTTTTTTTCAACTTTTTTTTTGTTTGATCCAATCAAATATAATCCAAATCAGTTTCGGTTGAACAAATTTTTGAATAAATAAAGGGTTTGATATTTATCCTTTTAAATGTCATAAATTATATCATTTTAAGAGATAGATACATGAAGAATAGAAATCATGAGGGATAAAGTGGTTGGTTTATTTTTAATTTAAATTTAAAATATATATTATTTTGCGTCTATTTCTCTCTCTTAAAATGACATAATTTTAGGTCATTTAAAATGATAAATATTTTTTCATTAATAATTTGGTTCAATTACTCGACAAATTTGGGTTTTTGACCAAAAAAATGCAAATTTCAAAAATATCCACATGTTTAGTTCGTTGACCAAACGTTTTACCGAACTAATGCAGGAAGACGTGTTTCAGGTGGTTACGCGTTTAGTCGCGCACCTGAAACATGCGCGTTTCTGACAAATCTGAAGACGTATGTACCAGGTACGTGTCTGAACACGTCTGTACTAGTTGCATGTTTCTGACAAGTCTGACGAGCACAATATCAAGATGCGTCATATTCAGGCACGCATTCCGTGTCTAGACACGTACCTAGTACAGATGTGTTTAGACACGTACCTAGTACAGACGTGTTCAGATTTGTCAGAAACACGCATGTGTCAGGTGCGTGTCTAAACGCGTAACCGCATGAAAAGTGTCTTCCTGCATCAGTCCGGTAAAACGTTTGGTCAACGAACTAAACATGTAGATTTTTTTGAAATTTGCATTTCTTAGGTCAAAACCCCGACAAATTCCTATAGTTTTACAAAAACTTAAAATAGATCTTTTTTACAAAAAATTTAAGTTTAAAAGTTGTTAACGGCATATTCTAAAGTAATCCATATCATGGCCATGTTCTCGCTGGGCTCAAACTCTGTTATGGGCCTTATTGAGTTCACACGGGGTTTATAGAGGGAACGATCCGCGCTAGTTTTGAGACAGAATGACTATAATGGCCTGTTTCATGTGATGTATAAGGTCTGATAGTATAAGCTTATACTATACGTTATGATATTTTTATTTGTTTAGTGTGACCATCGTATAGTATAAACTTATACAGCAGGATTCCTTTATACATCAAAATGATGTATAACTTAATCAGGCATAGGAGTGGTGGATTAGGTCTGGTAAGTGGTTGATGTATTAATATTGCTTACAAGTACAATTTCCAAGAACTAATATATCATTTCAATATTTATATATTAAAATAATTTTTTAAATATATTAATTTCTAAAATATTAGAGGATATTATCTTATACAATACCATATCAAACGCTGGATAGTATTACAATTTAATCAGGTCTTATACAATCAGGTCTTATACTATCAAGTCTTATACTATCAGGCCTTATCCTATACTATGCACCAAACATGCCCTAATTACCAAATCTAAATTGAAATGGTGAATATACTGGGGCTTAGGTCTTGCATTATTTTTTATTTAGAAATCATTTATTTGTATAATTATGAAGGTTAAAATATTTATAAATTTTATAAGCACGTGACGTGTATACTAGAAATTGACTTCAAAAAATTATGAGCATAAGGTGACAGTTCAAACATCTTTTTTCTATTTTAGTTTATTATAGGGAAATTTGACTTCTAAATCTATATCTAACATTGTGGTAAAGTCTTCTCCAATACCCAATTCTCAACATATCACATAACTAAAACTAGAACCATTATGATTCCTAAAAGCATTTCAAATTTGTATAGTACATTATTAGTATATAACCATTTGTTCTGTCTGAAAGACAGAGATGTCCAGCCGGTGGCTTATATATTTTATGTAGGATCTATGTGCCCTCTCTCAGGTATCTATGAATGAGATACTTTTGATGATAGGCAGATCACTGTGCACAATAATAATCGACATAGTCAAGGCATGGGGTGTGTGCACAATGACAATCTAAGAGAGAGGGTTTAAGGTCTGTGTACTGTAACACCCCGTAGTACTCCGGTTGTTAACATACATGATATTTAGCATTCACAGCGGAAGACTTTATTTGAAAAGGAATAAAGCGTCATATAAAAATACGAGTAAATTTTTTCCAAAGTATTTTATAAAAACATTTATAAAAACGTTCATGTGAGATACTGGAGAAGCGTAAATCTAAAACATACATCGACTAATT